GTGTGATGTCCATCTGCCAAATATGGTTAGGTATCAGTCCTCTAGGATTGACTCCAAGATTAACTTGTGGTAAAAAGGACACACAATTTTGACATTGTTTTATTATATGTCTGGCTTGTTCCTTAGTTATTTTAAAATGCTTTTGTAAAGTATTAGCATTAACACGGAACCTTTTATGAAAATTTGTAGCTTCTTCTAGTGTAGAGAAAATATGTATGTCATGTGTAGTTTTATCTGCTAAACCATTGCCCAAACTAAGGGCTCCAGGCAATCCTGTATGTGCCCTGATATGTCCTATAAAGAATGGATCTTTTCTGTCCCAGATTAGACTTTGTATAGTGGAAAACAAAGAGAAAACAGTAGAGGAGGGAGAAATCCTACCAGTATCTTCAAGGGATACTATAGCATTAACTATATACTGACTATCAGAAAATAAATTAAATACAAAATCTTTAAACATCACAAAAGCTTGTAATACTTCATTAAGTTCTACCTTTTGAGCTGATTGTTTGGGTATAAAAATGTAAAAGTTTGATCAGGGGTAACTACTGCTGCTGTACCATTATTTGACCCATCAGTGAATATATTTGGAGCATTCATGATAGGGGTTTTTCTTGTCATTTTTGGAAAAAATACAGGATGCTTAGACCAAAAAGACAACAAAGTATTAGATGGTAAGTGATTATCAAATGAAACATTAGATTTGCACATGATTATTGCCCAAGTATTTAACTCATTAGCTAACTCATCAATTTAATCCATAGTATATGGAGTAATAATTTTATTGGGAAAATTCCAAACACTCCCTTTGCTGCTTTTATTCCTTTGAGTATTAATTGTCCTACAGCCTCAGGATACCTAGTAAGAATAGTGTTAGGAGAATAAGATAAATGTATCCACAATAATGGACCTTCATGCCAAAATACTCCTGTAGGAATATTTTTTGTTGGTAGTACAATAAATAATAAAGGCAAACATATCAATTCTATCCAAATGTATATTTTCCATATATGTTTCAATGATTTTTAATGCCTTTCTTGCTTCAGGCGTTAACATTCGGGGTGAATTTGGATCTGATGGACCTTTTAGGATATCAAATAAAGGTCCCAACTCTCCTGTTGGTATGCCTACATAAGGCCTTATCCAATCTATGTCTCCTAATAATTTTGAAAGTCGTTAAGTGATTTGAGTTGATCTACTCGTATTTGAATTTTTGGTGGATGGACCATGGTTGAGGATAATAGAACTCCTAAATAATAAATTGGAAAATTTAATTGTACTTTATCTATTGCTATCTCTAGACTATAATTTTTTAATAAATTTGTAAGTGTGGCATAACATTCTAGCAATGTTTTTTTATCTTTGTGTGCTAATAATACATCATCCATATAGTGAAATATTTGTAGTTCAGGATTTTGATTTCTAAGTGGCTGGATTTCTTTGTTAACATAGATTTGACACATAGTTGGGCTGTTAGCCATCCCTTGAGGGAGTACTTTCCATTCATATCTCTGATCAGGACCTTCATGATTTAGTGCAGGGATAGTAAATACAAAACGTGGACTATCCTCGGGATGAATTGGAATTGAAAAAAAACAATCTTTAATATCTATATCTAAAACATGTGAGGTTTTTGGCAAAGCAGACAATTGAAGAATCCCTGATTGAGCAGGTCCCAATGGTTATTAACCATCTCATTATTAATGGCTCTTAAATCTTGCAATAATCTCCATTTACCAGATTTCTTTTTGATGACAAACATGGGGGTATTATGGGGAGATACGGAAGGTTGTATATGTCCTTCCGCTAATTGTTGTTTGACCAGATCATGGGCTGCTTGTATCTTTTCTTTAGTCAGGGGCCACGGAGGAACCCACACTGGTCTTTCTGATTTCCAAGTAATTTTGATTGTCTCAGTGGCCCTTTCTGAAAACCCAATCCATGTCTATTTATTCCTTGATCTATTTGAATTGATGCTGCTATACCTTGTTCTTGTTCTCCTAATCTGTTTTCTTTCCTAAAACCTTGTCTAGCCCTAGTAGTGGATGCATTAGGATTGATGTTATTTGTTAACATCAAACCTAATTGATCTAGGACATCTCGTCCCCATAAATTTATAGGAAGATGATCCAATACATATGGCTGTATAGTTCCTTCACATCCTTCAGGATCCTTCCAATCTAATACCATTGCACTTCTATGGGGATTAGTCACCACTCCTAGGCCTCAAAGGGTTTGAGTGGCTTGTTGTAATGGCCAATGTTTTGGCCATTCTTGACGAGATATGATGCTAAGGTCAGCACCTGTGTCCAGTAGCCCATTAAACTCATGTATTTGAATATTTAGTTTTAGCATTGGGGGAGAATCTAAATTTAAAGACAGCATAGCCCAATCTACACCTGTGGAGCCTAATCCCCTGGAAACTCGTTCTATAGGACGGCTGGAGAATTTATCATGTAGGCTGGGTATTATTAATAACTGTGCTATTCTATCTCCTGGTGAAATTACTGATATACCTCTTGGAGAACTAGATATAATTTTTATTTCACCTACATAATCAGGGTCAATTACCCCAGGACTTATCATAAGTCCTTTTAATGTAGAAAAACTGCGTCCCAATAATAAGCCTACTGTTCCTTGGGGAAAAGGTCCTTTTACTCCTGCGGGAATGATTTGAACTCCCATCTCTGGAGTTAGTACTGCTCTGGCAGAGGCGCAGATGTCCAACCCTGGGCTCCCTCTGGTTTGTCTGATGAGGGATTTAATGTACAATGTGTCCTGGGCACTACCCTGATGGTGTTGCTGGGTTGTTCCACTGCCCTGTATTTCCAGTATGCGACCAGCGCACTGGTTTCATTAGTGAGGTTCTTGGCATAAAGGTTAGCTAGCGAGATTGAAATAAAACACACAGACTCAGTTACCTTTTTCTATGACCAGGTCCCAGACAGCTCCCCTCTCTGGTTCCCACCTCGAATCACCCGGTAGGGCAGCAAGGATTACTCAGGGCTAGCAGGAGAGAGAGAGAGGGAGCATGCCAGGGAGTAGCCTTTTATTGGGGAACAAGAAATTCAGGGGAGAATTCCATCCAATGAAGGTTGAGGGGGGCCGCACTACAAGGTCAAGGTCAGTGATTGGCCCCCAGGGACAGTGGTCAGTCACACCCCTACACGGACAGGCTCTCTCATCAGGAGAGGGCTGGGAAAGCTCCGACACAGTTAGCCAGAGCACCTGAGACCCAAACCAGGAGTTGCCCAGTCACGTGTGAGAATGGCTTCCCACATATTCCCCCTTTCTTTTCTTAAAAATGAGGCAGCAGTTCACTCTTTGGAGTTTCTGTATTCTTGTAGGACTCGCTATCCTATAATTACAACACAAAAGAGAATTAACAGCAAAGAGAATAATTCAATAATGTACCAGGCCGAGTGTTTAAGAATATTTCCAGGGTTGAATCCATTCAACTCCTTCAATATTGGGTTAGCCAAAGAAGAAGGATCTGAAAAATCAGCTCTATTATTTTGAATGTCTTGGATATGGTGATGAAGTTCCAGAATATCCAAGATATTATTACTATTTTGCCAAATACCTAACAAATGGTTTTTAACCTTCTCCCAATCCCAGAGAGAAGCATTATACTTGGAAGCTGTAACACACACATATTTATAATTTGCATGGCATTTAAGCCTTTCTTTAAATTTTAAAGCTGAAAGTTCATTACCTATGTCTATAACAGTCACCTCTAAGGCGTTTAATTTAGTCTCAATCCTTTCATCAATATTTACTTGATTACACAGAGCCTTGGAAGTATTTTGAGCTAAATTATTAAGAAATTTTGCATGCTGAATATTCTGAGACAATGTCAGAGACGCAGAGACAGTGGAGGCAATAAAAGAGACTAGCACCAAAACACCAACGATTATAACTCCAATAGCACGTTTAGATCTTGCTAGCTGGGCATGAATTTGCTGCAAGACTTGTAAACCAGTATCAGCATACCATGGCTCTGAAATATTAGCAGGTAATAAAACTAAAGAGGGCTGATGAAGTATCAGCACTCCTTTTCCTCCATTATACCTAGTAATACAATTGGTTAGGTTACATTTATAACAAGTAACAATATATCTGTCATCTATCCAGTTAACTTTTACATTTCCAATAATTAAAACATAAGGAGATTGGACACAGGCTCGTAAGCCATAGCAAGATCCCTCTTTACAGTTCTTGCCAACAAATTTTGGTAAAGGCTTATCTGTAAAATGTAAGAATTCTGAGGCAGCAATTAAGCACCAAACATCCTTTTGAACACCACCTTCACTATAAGTCAAAATATTACTAACAAATCCTGCAGGTGTCATAGCAGAATTTCTTCATAATTGTCTCTTATCAATTTTTGGAGACCAGTCTAAAATATACCCACTATCTTTAGACACCTTATGTTGTACAGGAAAGGTATTTACACAATCCATCCATCTAGGAAAGGTGCCAATCTCAATTGTAGAACTATTTGCACCGTGGGGTATCTGTGGAGGTTTTGCAGAAATGACTGGCTTGTTATGGGAAAGTCCCATCTTAATTACTGATCTAGTATAAGGTTTTAAGTCTCCATAAATAGAATTATTTGTCAGTCTAGGTCTACCAATTGCTGTCTTTTCCTCGAATGATACTTTCAGACAGCCACCATGTTTATCGTGTGACCAACACAAAGGTAATTGGGCACTGTAGCCAGAATAATTAAATCTAGTCACATGATTGGGAGTAATATGAGTATCTGTAAATCCTCCCATCATGAATGAGTCATTAGTAAATACTGGAATGGATTCTCCAGTCCACACAGCTGGGTGTACCAGGGGTGGATCTGGGAAATATGTCCAGTAAGTGTCTACTTGATCCCCCTTTACCTGACAGCCAATCAGGGCAATTACTGTTGCTACCATCATCACTGGGGTCCTGTTCTTCCCTAGGTGTCAAAGTATTTGGGAAGCCTGGGTTGTTAGCTTCTTTACGTCTTCCCATGAACTCAGATTTTCAGCTGGGTCAATCTGGTCTTTCTTCATCCTTTTCCGATATCTCCTCCTTTTGGATAGGGGCTCCTCCATGTCGATCTTCAGTCGCTTGAATCTGGGTTCTATCTCTTCCATGTCTGATAGCACGTTCAGGCACCCAAATAGGACGAAAAGCACCTTCTGGAAATATACAAGCATGACCTCTGCCCCACATAATCACTGGATCTGGGCCTTTCCACTGACCGGTCTGTAAATCTTTCCACAAAACTCTGCCTAAAGGGCCTGTTACTGAGGGAGACATTTGCCTCTCAGCAGCAGTGTGACCTTCTGTGTCACAGTTTAAAAATTTTAAAACAAACAAAGCATGATTAAGGCTATTTTGGGGAGTCATAACCCTATTCCCCCCTTTTAATTTTTGTAATTGAAGCTTAATAGATAAATGAGCTCGTTCCACAATGGCTTGACCTTGGGGGTTATAAGGAATTCCTGTTTTATGATTAATTTTAAACTCTTGGCAAAATTGCTGAAAAGAAGAGCTTACATAAGCTGGAGCATTATCTGTTTTAATCTGCATAGGGCACCCTAACACAAAAAAAGCTGCTAGGCAATGAGAAATTACATTTTGGGTATTTTCCTTAGTATGTGGTGTGGCAAAAATAAATCTAGAATAAGTGTCCACTATGACATGCACATAACATTGCTTACCAAATTGAAGAATATGAATTACATCCATTTGCCATATTTGATTTGGTTTTAATCCAAAGGGATTTACCCCTGATGGCAGAGATGGAGTGTGAATAACACACTTAGGGCATTGGCTTACAATCTGATGAGCTTGTTCTCTAGTAATATTAAATTTTTTACGTAAGCTAGAAGCATTTTGATGATGTAAGGAATGGGAAGCTAGTGCACAGTCATATGAAGACATCTGTTGACAAAAAGTTACTAATTTATCAATTTTGTCATTACCTGAAACTAAGGGTCCTGGAAGATTAGTATGAGCTCATATGTGTCCTATGAAACATGGGTACTTTCGCATTAGCACTGCCTTCTGTAAATTATGGAATAATTCAAATAACTCTTGTGATGAAGTATACCCAATAACTGAAGTTTCAATATTTTTAGTAACTCCGACTGCATATAAGCTGTCAGAATAAATATTAATAGGCTCATTTGAAAAGTAATTTAAGGCACAAATCAGAGCTTGAAGCTCTGCTCTTTGGGCAGAAGTATAAGAAATTTGCATTACCTCTGTGTGAACACGACTATAAAAACCTGATTTACCTGAGTTAGAACCATCCTGAACACTGATAAAGCTTCATCTATAGGATGTGCATGTACAATCTTTGGAAAAATAAGTGACGTTAATGATGCAAATTGTATAATCTTATCATGAGGATAATGGCTATCTATCTGGACAGGAAAATCAGCAAAAGCTATCTGCCATGAGCTAGAAGTTTGAAAAAGCCAATTAGTCTGTTGAACAGAAAATGGAATGGTTATGATATCAGGCTCAGATCCAATTAATTGTAAAATCCTAGTTCTGCCCTTAATTACTAATTGAGCTATGGAATCATGAGAAGGAATTAATGTTTTTTGAGGGGAGTGGGATAAATAAATCCACTCAATAACTCCTAATCTTTGCCACATGGCTCCTGTTGGGGTATGCTCAGTTGGAAATATTAATAAATACACTATTTCTTTAGGATCAACTCTAGTAAGCTGTGCATTTTTAATTGCATGTTCAACTCTCCTTAAAGCCATTCTAGCCTCTAAGGTTAGCTGACATGGAGAGGTTGGAGAAGGATTTCCTTGTAATATCTGAAATAAAGGACTTAACTCGGAAGTAGTTAGTTTTAAGGATGGCTTCAGCCAATTAATATCTCTTAAAAGCCTTGAAAATCATTAGGGGTTTGTACAGAAACTGTTTTGCTCTGGTAAAATTAAAGATGGCAGCCCCCATGGTCGGCGCGATGAGGTCACATTGCGTGACCATCACCTACTTCCTCATTCTCGGCCGGGGGAGGGGCCGACCGGAAGTTTGTGTTTCGGCCAGGCAGAAATGATGACAAGAAGGCGGGCTCATCCACGCCATCTTGATCCGCCACGTGGGATTGAGTCCTCCAATATCTATTATCACCAGTAGATGGAGCCCTGAACTTAAAATTTCGCATGCGACACTCACGCGCATTATGGTTACTTTTCCCGCAAACGTAGCATCTCCTGCGGGGCTTTCATACTAAATCTTGTGGCCTTAAGGTTTCTTTTAGTGCCGCAGCTATAGCTACTGTCTGCAAATGGGTACAGTCTATGTCAGAACATAAGCGGATAAACTCAGAAACCGTCCCTTTTTTACGGTACGGCCTAAGAATGTCCTGACAATACTTATTCGCATTTTCAAATGCCAATTGCCTAACAATAAACTCACATGCCCCCTGGTTCCCGATTGACCTGTTTGTAGCCTGGTACAATCGGGCTACGAAATCTGAGTAAGGTTCACTCACACCCTGCCTGATTTTGGTAAGAACTAAATTGGATTGGTCTTTAGAGACAATCTGCCTCCAGGCACGTTTCGCACAATCAGTTATTTGATTATATACTACAAATTCATAATTTAACTGTCTTTCTAAATCAGCAAATTCACCTGTTCCTAAAAACATTTCTACCGGCATCTCTAAATTTCATCTTCTATTTCTTTCTGCCTGTTCAGTACAAAAATCAGTCCAATAAGTATGCCAGAGCAAGAAATCTCCCCCACTCAGGCAAGATCTAGCTAAAGAAATCCAATCACTAGGAGGAAGGGGTTGCGAGCAAATATTTTCTATCAGGCTCTGTACAAAAGGCGAATTTGGACCATACGTCTCACATGCAATTTTTAGTTCCTTAATGGTTTTAAATGGGATTACAGTATGAACTCTAACTCTCTGATCTTGCTCATTAACTTGCTCAAAAACTGGAAAAAGTTGAAAACCGCTAGTATCCTCCCCAGCTTCCTGTGCTTTCTTAATACCTCGCTGGAACGGGGTAAGAAAGGTCATTGTTAATTCAGTGTACCTATTAAATTTTGTCCTTTTAGTAGGTAATGGCCAAATTCGAATAGCCTGGGCAGGCGGTGTTAAACGCAGCCTGTTGAAATTTCTCTGTAAGTCCTGAATTTCAACGTCTGATTCTTCTCCCTCATACTGCAAGTCATGGGTAGACTCTGCGCTGTCGCCATTTTAAATTGGGCTTCTAAGCCATGTGGCAGAGAAGAACTCTGTGCCCCTCTAAGAACCTCTTCCGGATTTTCCTCCCCAGGAAGATCCTCTACCTCTTTCAGAGGACTTTCTAGGACTGTGGAGGTTTCTCCTCTATGACCTTCCTCTCTATAATCTCCCTGCGGGCCAGCCTGATCCTGCAAGTTTAAAGTCACATTCTTAACCTTCGGTTTGGCCCCTAGATCCTTTGTTTTTAAACAGCTCAAGGGAAAGGGAATTAACTTAGCCTCAGGGGGATTTTCCATTTGAATAGACCTAATAGCTCTCTGAATGCCTTTTAATAGGTCTTCATGGGGCTGGGAACTCTGGCCCATATATTCAAAAAGACAAACTTCCAGAGCCGTCCAAGTTTTCTGAATATTCTCTATGCATCCAGGTAATTCATTAGAAAGACAAACTTTTTGTAACTTCCTTCCTAGTTTCTCCCAAGTAAGTAAATTTGGAGACTCTTGTTCACAAAACCAAGGACAATATTCACCTACAATCTTTAAGAATTGTAATAACTGAGTTTTCTTTATCTGTTTTCCTTTCTGATTAATTATACTGTCTAAAATAGTCAGATACATTTCCTTATCCGTAGAAGTTGAATTTCCCATTTTAATTAATTTAACGTCTCTTTCTTTCAATATCTCCAGGTACTTTTGTGACTCTAAATTGTCACAACTTCCTTTATCTTTATAGTGCGCTCCCACTCAATCTAGCTAATCTAGAATGCCCCCCTCGTGGGCGCCAATTCCACCATGCGACCAGCGCACTGGTTTCATTAATGAGGTTCTTGGCATAAAAGTTAGCTAGCGAGACTGAAATAAAACACACAGACTCAGTTACCTTTTTCTATGACCAGGTCCGAGACGGCTCCCCTCTCTGGTTCGCACCTCAAACCACCTGGTAGGGCAGCAAGGATTACTCAGGGCTAGCAGGAGAGAGAGAGAGGGAGCATGCCAGGGAGTAACCTTTTATTGGGGAACAAGAAATTCAGGGGAGAATTCCATCCAATGAAGGTTGAGGGGGACCTCACTCCAAGGTCAGGGTCAGTGATTGGCCCCCGGGGTCAGTGGTCAGTCACACCCCCACATGGACAGGCTCTCTCATCAGGAGAGGGCCGGGAAAGCTCCGACACAGTTAGCCAGTGTGCCTCAGACCCAAACCGGGAGTTGCCCAGTCACATGTGAGAATGGCTTCCCACACCGTATATTTGTGGTTGTGGGCCCCGGAGCATTGGGCCCCCCAGTCCGTTTTTTGGCAATGGAGCCTGATGCCTTTCTCCACTATATTGTGGGTAAATACCTGGTCCTTGTCTGGTTTTTGATAAGGGAGTACCCTCTATGGTGGTTTGAGAATGGCATTCATTAGCCCAATGTCTCCCTCTACGGCATCGTGGGCAAATACCCGGTATCCTATTCCTTTGATACCTAGTTTTGTTAAACCTTTCTCCTATGGGGCAATTCCTTTTAAAATGTCCTGTTTGTTCACAATTGTAGCATGTTTTTGGCCTGGCATCTAAAGCCTGTTTTACTGCAGCTGCCAAGACTTGCCCTTGTTCATTAATGTCTCTACATAATTTAATATATGTGTTTAAATCTTCATGTCTCCATGGTCTAATAACCTCTCTGCAGCAACGATTTGCTTGGTCATAAGCCAGTTGTTTTATTAATGGCATTGCTTGTTCTGTATCCCCAAAAATTCTGGCAGCTGTTTGAATAAGCCTATCTACAAATTCAGCGTAAGGTTCATTAGCTCTCTGTATTACCTTAAATAGCTGACCTTGTAAATCTCCATGTCCTTGTAAAGTCTTCCATGCCCTAACTGTGTCTGAAGCAATTTGTGCATATATAGCAGGATCATATTCAATTTGTTGCCGTTGACCCTCATAAGGTCCTTTTCCTAACAACATATCTAGATTTCTTTGAGGGTAACCGGCTGCTGAACTTCACCTAGCTGTCTCCATGCAAAATTCCTCATTGGCAACCTTCCATAACAAATATTGTCCTCCATTTAGCACAGATTTACACATGCTAGCCCAATCTGCTGGCGTCATGTCCAAGTTGGTAATGGATTTGACCATGCTTACCATGAAGGGTGCTTGGGGACCATAGGTTGTTACAGCCTCCTTTAACTGCTTCACTGTTTTGAAATCTAAAGCACAGTGAATTTGCTGCCCTCCTGCCTGTTCAAGTACAGGGCATACTAATCTTTGAGGTCCTGTCTCAGGATCCCATTTATCAACTACAGGGTTTGAGGGCCACTCAGCTGTCTCCATCGGTGGGGCCGTTGGTTGAATTTTGCCCTCTTGTGATAAAACGGAGTTAGTAACAGCCTCCTGTTTTGGCCTTTTTCCTAACAACCCCTTTTCCTTTAAATTTTCTTCCTCTGTCTGACTAGCTCGAGAGACCTTCTCTTTTGCTTGATCTAAAATGTCTTTCTCCATGGTCTGAACCTCTAACAATTTACTTAACATCTTTTCAATTTGTTTTTTACTAATTTCTAATCTACTATAAAGATAACGCAACCCAATAAGATAACACAAAACAAAACCGAAACTGAATGAAACAAAAATGGAATAAAAAATCGTTGTATCAATTTTCTCTTCCTCAGGGCCGACAAACTTCAATCCTTTAGTCAACCATTTTTTCCAGTTTGCCTGAGAAATTTCTAGGGATAGGCAGCTTGAAACAAAAACAAGATAAATCAAAACAAGAACGCACTGTTTTTTTTTTGAAATGGTTACCCATTCTTTTGCTCTTCCTCAGAGACGAGCAATTTCACTTACCTCCAAGCTTTAGACATTCCCCGCACGGACCAACAAATGCCAAAGTCTGGCTGGGCACAAAATCACGAGCCACTCACAGCCTTGTAGATTCAAACAGCAATTCTTTATTCCCGAACTGTCACCGGCACTCTACACACACGTTCTGGGGAAAATCCACACCTCCACTCGGCTCTGCATCCCAAAATACTCTCTGAATCCCGCGAGAACTCAATGGGAACTCAAGGAACGGGTGGGTGCCTGAGGCAGCAGGATATGCCCTATTCCCAACAGGGTCCACCTTAAACCTGGAACCGCCCTAAACCCAAGGAGTGGGTGCTTGAGGCAGCAGGATACTCTCTATTCCCAGCAGGATACACCCTAAACCTGGACCCACCCTAATCCAGCAGGATCCTCCCTAAACCTGGATCCACCCTGGTCCTTGAGCAGGGTCACCTTTCTCAAACATTCATGCAATGTCACTGCAAATGACCTGGGTCCAAGGCAAGCCCATTTCCACAATGGAGAGTCCTCCCTCTAAGTAACATTGGGTAGGCTGACAAAGAAATTGCCATGCTTCATTCCTACTTGGCAATGGCTCTCAGCAAATTGTGTCATGTATGTACACAAATATGTCACAATGAAACCCCACTGCATGTATAATTATAATGGACTAATGAGTCCTCAAAATAATAAAATTTTAATAAACTATTGTTTTTCTACTAAAAAATATAGTTGGCAAAGTGTCACATCATGCACTTTAAACAAATAAATCTTAGCAAATGAGTACTAGAAGATCACCTCCTCAACTTATTAAAGGCCACCTACAAAAACCTAAAGCTAACTGTAAGTAACTGAAAAAATTAAATTCTTAGACATACATCTAACACCACATATATGCTGAAAACTAAAAATTCTGACTGAAAAAAAGACTGGGGCTGCAGCAATGTACTTATTAAACTTCCATCAACACCCAATGGGATTTATTCTGGGAACTTTAAGGTAGGATAACATTAGAGAGTCTTGTCAATTTTTTATCTGTGCATATTAATGGTACAGGATAACGGATTTCATTGTGGTCTAATTATACACACATATAACACGACTTGGTCAATTTCACTCCCCAGTTCCTCTCCTGACCCTCTCTTCCTCCGTCCTCTACCCTCAAGATTGCCCTTCTACTTTCCTTCTTCCCCCTCCTCCCTTCATATATGAGTGAAAACCTGATACATTTCCGAGCTTGACTTATTTTGTCAACTTGATGTCTCCAGTTCTATCCATTTTCCTACAAATGACATAATTTTGTTCTTTGTGGGAGAATAATACTCCATTGGGTATAGACACCATATTTTATCACTTATCCATTGACCTTGGCTGACTCCTTGACTTGGCTGTTGTGAATTGTGCAGTGATAAACGCAGGTATGCAGGTATCTCTAGAGTGTGTCGACTTTAATTCCTTTAAGGGTTCCACACCCAGGAGTGGAACAGCTGGATCTCCTGGTAGTTCTAGTTTTTTGAGGAAACTATACCGATTGCCTTAGTGGCTATACTAATGTACACCGACAGTGCATAAGGAATCCTTTTTCCTCACACCCTCACCAGCTGTCTAATACTATCGGAATTCTTGATGACTGATTGCCGTTCTCACAGGGTCAGGCAATTGGAATCTTGATTTGCGTGGATCTTATGGCTAAAGGGGGTGGACTTTTTTTTCATATAATTGTTGGCGTTTTGGGTTTTTTTTTTGTTTGTTTTTTTGGAAATGTCTGTTCAGTTCATCTGCCTGTGTATTGAACTGGTTACTATCATTTTTTTTCTTTTTTGAGTCTTTGGGGTTCATTATATTCTCTGGATAGCAATTTTTGGTGAGAGGAGCAGCTGGCAGAGTCCTGCTCCCATCCCACCCCTATCTTTCTGTTGTACAGAAGCTGTTTAATTTGATGCATCCGGTGATGCTTGTTGGTGTTATTTCCAGACCTAGAGGAGTCCTATTCAGGAAGTGCTTGCCGGCACCTGTATGCTGGAGCATTTCTCCTGTGTTTTCCTCTAGCAGTCACAAGCTTCTGGTCTTCCATCTACATCTTTGATCCTCTTAATATGCTTCATCTCATTAACAGATTGTAATGCTAATTTGAATTGTCAACTTGAATGGATTAAGAGATGCTGATGATTAAGAGGCTTCTGGATGTGTCAGTGAGGGCATATCCAGGAATGATTGGTGTGTGGGATAGTGAACTAAATGGAGACCCTCCCTAAGAGAGGGCAGTGTGGTGATTAAGATGGTGGCTTGGATGAATGAAATTTAGAAGAACAAGGAAGCAGCAACAGATGCAAGCTCTATTCTTGACCAGGTTCTTGATTGCAGACTGTGCCAGTGATTTTCCAGGAAGTTTCCAGAAGCCTTCAGTCTCGAGTAGCATAGCCCCGTTGATCCCTCTTGTTCTGGGGTTTGCACAGCTACTGGTTCTCTCAACTCCCTGGCCTGCAGACGGCCATTGTAGACTATCCACCTTCTGGTCAGGTAAGCCAACCTACTAAGTCCCCTTTAGAATCCTAATTCCTGTTGATTCTGTTCCTCTAGAGAATCCTGACAAATACACACATCAAAGAAGAGAAACTAAATTTGCTATATCAACAAATGCTGAAGATATCCAGTAAAACCTGACAGTCATTCATGATTTTTTAAAAATGGGGGGGGGGGGAACTTCTAGTGAATTGAAAAAAGCCAAAAAAATTTTTTTGTCCTAAAACTTTTTTCTATCCCCAGACTACCATAATCACCATATTTAATGGTGAAATATTAGTAACATTTCTCTAAATTCAAGGATAGGTCAAGGATGCCGGCTAACAGGCCTGTATTCAACAGTGGTCAGGACATCCTGGCCAATGTAGGGCATTTAGGAAAGGAGTGGGGAGGGTAGACTGAGTTGGGGGGAGGATATGATTAAAAGGAAGAAATCAGAAATCAAATTATTTTTTGAAAGTGGTATGGTTGTCTTTTTGAAGTACTAAAAGAATCCAGCCACTTTGCTAGAAACAAGATAATTATTCATAAATCAGGTACATTTGTGTACCAGCATCATTTTAATGTTGCTTTTTTTTTAGTTGTTGATGGACATTGTTAAGCTCGTTAAACTCGAATTCGGAACCCCCAAAAGACCACCAGAGACCAAGATCGATGTAAACAGCAAAGAGGTGTTTATTGCGAGCTAGCTCGGTCCTCCACACACACACACACACAGCAACTGGTGATGCTGAGAGGCCCTGAGCCCAGGGTTTGCAGCAGTTTCATACATTCTTTGGAGAAGGCAGGGACCCCCACATACACCATAGCATCTCTTAGCAAATCATCACACACCACGGGAAAATCAAATAACAACTCTAAAACATGATTAGCACATTCACTGGCAGGAACAAGTTGGGTAGGGGTGATTGGTTAGTACAAGAGGGGGATTCATTTGAACTGATTGGTTTAAGCCATGAGGGGTGTTCATGCTGAACTACATGGTTTCCCAACACGTTATCAACCACCATAAACTACTGGGAGGGTCATCTGGCATCCCAGGTATTTCCCTGTCTCATGCTGATTGGTGGCTGATAGGGGGTTGCTATGAATCCCCACCTAGCCTGAGTCAAGGACACCTGGCACAGCAGATCTCTCCTGTTATTTGTAGATAAACAACTTAGCGGGGTGGGAATGTGCCTAGGAGTGCTCTGTGGGTCTTTCCAAGGACAAAGGCCATGTCCCTTCTTTGGACAGGCTTTGCTCTGAGGTAGAGGCTGGTTTTTCACACAATGCCTTTATTTTATTTATTTATTTTTATGCAGTGCTGAGGAGCGAACCCAATGCCTCACATGTGCTAGGCAAGTGCTCTACCACTGAGCTACAGCTCAAACCCAACCAAGTATACTTTTTAAAAAGAAAAAAATATATATGAATATAGAAGGGAAAGGGAACAGAGGAAGGGAGGGGAGGAGGGAAAGGGGAAGTCCTGGGGATGGAGTAGAGCAATTTATGTTCTGTGTTGTTGTAGGGACAAACGAGGCAAGGCACCAAAGACAGCAGGAAACAGTTTTATTTGGCTACAGCCAGATTCAGAGGGTATAGCCTTTGCTGTAATCAATCAATCCCCTGAACCCCAAGTTCAGGGAACTTCAGGGTTTTATACCCAGTGTGTAAGGGGAGGGGCTCAGAAGTTCACAGTCTGCGGAAGTTCACATAAAAGCAGCTTTTTCTTTCACTGTTTTGGGCAAGTTAACTCTTCAAGGACAACACCTGAGAAGGGGAGAGCTTCTTCTCCCCTTTCTTTCCTCCCCCTGCCAGCTGTTACCATGGAGCCTAATTGGTAACTTAAAAATGTAGACATCTCTGTGAAGCCCAGCCCAAGGCCAGAGGCCTTGTTTGCACATTTCTTCAAAGTACTATGCTGGATACGTTTGTGAAAACTAGTAAGGGGGTGTCCAGCACCTGGAGTGCTGGTATCTTCTCAGCCAGTGGCCAAGTAAACAGGGTGGCACGAAAATAGGAAGTTTATCTACATTGGACTCTTTTGCTGACACTCCTAAAATTAGCCATGGTGAAGAGGGCTTTTCTGTGGAGAAAGGGGGCGCCACTTCAGTGATTCTATGATCATGTCAGAATGCACCCTGAGATTCTGAATAACTATAAAGCACTAATAGTAAGCTATAAAGGGCCTGAGCATGAATATAATTACCATTGTGCCAGGTGCTGTTAAAAAATTAAATACATAAAACTTAATTGATACATATAAAAGATGACCTCAATAAATTGGCAGAGGCACTATGTTTATGGTTGACACAAAACAATGTAGAGATGCATGTCCCCTGCCCCAAAAGTCCACACAGTCAATTCAATTCCAACCAAACCAAACCAAACAAAAAATTATATTGGTGGAAACTGAAAGGTTTATTCCAAAAATTCTGGTGGAGAATTAAAAGGTCAAAAACAGCTAAGAACATCTGGAAGGCCTATGGTGTTGTAAGGTTTACTTTAAGGGGATGAGGACCCAGGACGGGCTCTGCACCCAGCTCAACAGGCTGGGTGGGGTTGAGCTGCCTGCTCCCTGCTTTGCTTGGGCCTGGGGATCTGCCTGCACCTGGCTCTTCCACCCTGCCGCAGTCTGGCTGGGCACAAAATAACCAAGCCACCACACCGCCTTGTAGATTCAAACAGTAACTCTTTATTCCTTGAACTCTCACCCGCACTCTACACTCGCATTCTGGGAAAATCCACACCTCCACCAGGCTCTGCATCCCCAAATACTCTCTGAATCCCGCAAGAACTCAACGGGAACTCCAGGAGCAGGCGGGCACCTGAGGCAGCAGGATATGCCCTATTCCCAGCAGGGTCCACCTTAAACCTGGACCCACCCTAATCCAGCAGGATCCTCCCTAAACCCGGATCCACCCTGGTCCTTGAGCAGGGTCACCTTTCTCAAACATTCATGCAATGTCACTGCAAGTGACCTGGGTCCAAGGCAAGCCCATTTCCACAATGGAGAGTCTTAGCTCTAAGCAACATTGGGTTAGGCTGACAAGGAAATTGCCATGCGTCATTCCTATTTGGCAATGGCTCTCAGCACCACCCCTTTATCTTCTCCTCTTTGACCTGGACCTTATCCAGAAACCTGTGCCTCAGTTTCTAGGTGGCCACTTGTCAGTTATCTTTCTCATTGATTGCAAGTTTTACAGGACTATAATCAGGGCATATTTGCTATGGAATCTCTGCTCTGGGGAATGTACTAAGATTTTTCCTGGTCAGCCTTGGAAAGTGGATACAGGGCAGGATATTGAGAGCATTGCTCTCTGTGTGTAGGGTACCAATTCTTAAAAGTACCTATTCACCTCAGCTGTTTGATTATATGACTCAAATTCTCTATATCCTTCCTTTTTTTCCCCTGTTCTATTTAATGTGCAAAATACAGTCACGTGTCACTTAATGATGAGGACAAGCTCCGAGAAATGCATTGTTTGCAATTCTGTCATTGTGGGAACACCACAGAGTGTCCTCCACAAACCCATATGGTCCAGCACAACGTGCACAGCCTGGAAGACAATCTCGTGGGACCTCCATGGATTGTGCACCCAGGTGAATGACATGTGCTCCTGTGGCACGTGACTGTACTCAGGAGCTATGGCACCTTGTGGCTAACTGGCAGACATGGGGTTCTCTCCCTTTCTGGGCTGGTTGTCAGCGTGCTTCTCTGAAGTGTGGCCCTGTGACTTACTTTGGCCAAAATCATGAGCAGCTGTGCTGCGTGTCACTGTGGACGAAGGCTCTGTGAGCCCAGGCAGTGGGAGAGTAGATGGTGTGCGTCAATCCTGGGCCGGGGCTTATGAAATCAGGGCGTCTTGTCTCTCCTTGGCTTCGCAGTGGCTGAAACCTAGACAGGGCAGCAGCAGAGCTCCAACCACAGACCAATGCCTGTGCCCTGGGCATGGCAGAGTGATGTCGAAGACAAGGCCTGGGACTTCCAGGGGAGGAGGGGCCACTTCCCCAAAACCTCTAGATAAGAGTGAAAACAATGTCTGAATTCTTTAAAGTGTGTGTTTTAGTCCTCGTGTTAGGCCACAAAACCTGTCCGCCTGAGGGGACTCTAGGCCCTGAAGGAAGATGGAGCCCAATCCGGGCCCCTGGTGTAGGAGCAGAGTTGGGGCCACCTTTACACCCAGTGCCTCCTCTACTGTAGGCCCAGCTCCCCTGCAGAGTTAGGCTTGTGACCCGGAAGTGAGCCAGGCCTGACATGATGGTGACAGGAGGACAGTTTAATGAAGGCAGCAGAGTGGGGCCCCACCACAGGCCCTGGGAGTGGACTGGCCATCCTCTCTCTGGCCGGGGTCCCTTTGGAATCCTCCTTAGTAATGGACACAGTAGAGTTGGATGCTTCCACTGATGCGGACCTCCCGCAGCCTCTCCAGGGTCTGCTGGTCCAGGTTGGTGGACCCCAGCGGCTGTCCATTGAGTGCCAGCTTCAGCCCTCCCTCCTGGCACAGGAGCAGCACCTGGTGAGGAGGGCCTGAGTGGGTGTGGGACTCCAGGCAGACCCTCCCTTCCTGCCTGCTGTGCTGCCCATCAAGACCCTCTTCCCTTAGAGGAAGGCCTAGATTGTCACCAGTGCACTATGACCTTCCACAGAGCTCTTAACTGACCCTGGGCCTAGTTGGCCTTCTACAACTGGGCTTGCTTCATGAAGCGGTTTTCCACTCTGGCCGCATGTTGGAATCATCAGGGGAGCTTTTGAACAAAAGGATGCTGGGCCCCACCTGCATTCATTATGCCAGAGTTTCTGGGCACAGGAACCTCGGCATCAGTGTGGAGGGCTGAGGGCCAATGCCTAGATGTACCCTCTGCTGGGCTGGCCTGGCTTCCTGGCCCCATGACATCTACCCTGCCAGGATGTGCCCCAGTCTCCGACCACTTTGGGAATTCAGCTGTGGTCTCCCTCCTGGAGGGAAGTGGCTGCTAGGATCAGACCCACCTCGAAGAACCGCTGGGGGTAAAAAAGGAAAGGGGCTGAGATGAGCTTCTTGAATCCCCAGGGTGAGACCCAGGCCAGCGTTCTGTCTGTGAAGGACGCCCTGAGCATCACAGGAGTGCGAGAGGCCTCATCCCTCAGGCTCAGAGTGAACCTGCAGGAAAGGCCAGAGAAGGGGATTGGCCTCCATTGCCTCCATTGCACACCCTGAGGGAGCAGCAGGGCTGTGGGAAGATGCTTCAGAATCCAGGGCTGGGCTCCTCCCACAGGCTCAGGGCTGGATCCTGGGACCCACCACAGCTTAGAGGAGTGGAGAGAACAGGAGGCTTAGACCTGAGTTTGGATCCCCGGGTTGCTGTCTACTGACTGGAGGTCAGGGGAGTTTCCTGGCTTAAGCCTCAATTCCTTCTCCTGAAAATGGGTGATCATGATGATAACAATAGTAGCTAACCTTTACTGTGTGTTTAATTCTGTGTCAAGTGTTGTCTTCAATATTTGCAAGCTGCCTAGTGGTTAGAGCCAAGCTGGGGCAGTTCCACCCTAACCCTGCTGCTTTCTAGTCCTGTGATCGAGAGCATGTCACTTAATGACTCTGTGCTGGCTTGTGGAAATTTAGGGATGGTAACAGTGCTGTGTCTGTTTTCTGGGGTTGTTGTTAGAATTAAATGAGTTAATACATGTAAAGTGTTACTTAGAACAGTGCCTGGCACATAGTACTGAAATGATACCTTTCATTTGAAACTATTATTACATAATACAAAATTTACCTCTAAAGGACAGACAGACACACACACACACACACACACACACACAGAAAACAAGCAGGAACCCAAAAGGTAATATACCTGAAGACTAGTAAGTCCCTGGAGCACAGTAGGGGTCTTACAGGAGCCAGGGTTTGCCTTTGCCTTAATCCTCACAAACGGCCTGAGCTGAGAGGTTTATGAGCCCACTTCAGTGGTGAGGACAGCAAGCAAGGGGACTGGCTGCTTTACTATGAACAACGGTGCAGCCTCAGACTGCGACGTGAACCAGGATTCATGACTCCAGATTTTGGGGGGCTGGTCTTTCTATGCCTGACATCTTCCTCTCAATAGCACCCCCAGACTCTGTTCCATGACTTCTGAAGGGACCCTCTTTGAAACACCAGCCCTGCAGCTGCTGTGGGCTGGATCCCAGCAGAAGCAGTTGAGAGCAAGAGAGAGGGATGCAGGGGGGTGGGGGGCAGTCCTAGAAGCCTCCTGGGGAGGGCCCCTGGGACTTCCATGGATCCCCACCAAGAAAAGGCCGCCCGTGTTTCCAGCTTTGGAGAGGAGAAGGCAAGGGCTTAGTGTTGGGAAGGAGCCTGAAGCAAGGTGCTGAAGGATGCCCAGGGGCGCAGCTGGAGGACCTGGAGGAAGGTTCTGTGGGGCACAGTACTCTCCAATTTCAAATTCACTCCATATTGAAAAATAGACTTTATGTAAAAGAGGGTTTTCAACTTCTCTTTAGAACTCACCAGAGGATCTGGCATGACTGGGCCCGTGGACATATTCTTCCCACTTCACACCCTTCCCACTCTGGTCCTCCCTACTCATGTGGCCAGTCTGACCTCTGAGGACATGTGCATTCACGGCCATTGGGAAATGGCATTCAGGTTATTTGCTGTGTCACTAATAAAAATGACATGATCTGGAGAAGGATATGAACCTGGCCACATGCTCCAAGGTCTGGGGAGGGAGGTGTGGTCCTGATCTTGGAGCACCTTATCATTTCCCATCACCTTGACATTAACATTCTCCTTTATCTGATAAGGAAACTCAGAGGTGCAGTGACATTCCCAAGCACACACAGTTTACAAGAGTCACTCCTGGCTCTGCAAGGCCTTGCTACCCATGATGTGCTTCATGCCAGCTTCGTAAGTGTGACCAGGAGCACTCAGGGCAGGGTGTAGCACCATCAGCAAGTTAAAAATAAATGAAAATGAAGCTGAGAGCCGAGAGGATGGTGCCCCCACTCCCCTCCTCTGCTTCCCACACTGTGGAGCACTTACCGCGGGTCAGGTACTATTTTAAGAACCAACCTGAGATCAGTTTTATTATTACCCCCTTTACAAATAAGGAAACTGAGGCATGGAGAGGAAAAGTCACTGCCCTAAGTTTGCACAGGTAGTAAGAGTGCTGGCAGTCTGGTTTCCCAAAGCCATAACATCCAATACCTTTCTTCCAGGTAGGCGGGCAGGCCCTTGTCTAGTTAGATTTGAGCAGACTGTCAGGACTTGATCGCCCCCTGGATGACAAGCAAGGAAGCGCAAGTAATGGTCTCCCTCCCAGTCCTGGCTTCCAAGTACTAGCTAGCCCTCCTCTCTGGGGTGTTTTGGCTCTTTCCTAAACCAAGCATGTGTCACTCTGGGAGGCCACCTCCTCTCTCTGGGTCTCTGTCTGTGTTTCCCCTGGGATCCAGATGCAGGGCTGGAGGCTTGACCAGAGGCACCAGGAGGGAAGATGTTACTGCAAGTGGGGCTGCTGGTCCCAGCCTGACCTTCCTAAGCTCTGTGACCTTGGGCTTCTTACCTGCTGCTCCTCCGCCTTCCCATCTGTAAGAAGGGGTGACATGGCAGTGCTGGGAGGTTAAAGGAGGTGATGCTTGGTTGGATACTTACTCCTTTGGCTCTTGCAAGACCAGTCCCCGAACTATGATGACCTGCCCCGGCCAGAGGCCCTGAGGAAGAGCACGTGAGCAGGGCACCTGCTGAAGGAACAAGGGGATGGCTGTGAAGGCTCTGGAAGGGTCTCCTGCCTCTAGGAACACCTGTGAGGGCTACTGTCAGGGGCCAAGGAAGCGCACGGGGACAGGCGAGTTTCTGCCATGGGCTTGCAGCAGGAAGTGCAGCTCTCTTCATTACTAAACCCCTGCTGCTGGCCTGCTGAGAGCTTCCCCTGCCCCCAGGCTGAGCTCAGTGCTCCAGTGTCAGTGCACCATGTGCTTCTCCCATGGCTGTGTCCTGAGCTGCAGTGGCTGCATGGAGGGCTAGGACCAGCTTGTCCCTCTGTCGTAGAGCCTGGCACTGGCCTGGCACACAGGACATCAAATATCTTTTTGCAGAATAAATGGAGAAAAGGTCAAATGAAGGTGGAGTTTCAGCTGCAGCTGCCTGGCTCACCCACAGCCTGCAGGTTCCCATAAAGCAAGGGAAATCCTGAGACCAAGGGCATTTCCCACCACAGGGAGCTCCTCGGCCTCCTATCCAGGTGTCTTCCCAGGCCTGAGGGAGCCCAGAAGAGGCCACACCTCCAGGGGACACAAGGAAGGAGCTTCACTCACCAGCCTGGGACTCTGCAGCAGGAAGGGCTGTCAGGAAAGAAAGGGGCACAAGGAAGCCCTTGGTCATGGGCTGGGAGGGACCCTCTTGCCATTATCCTTCCACACTGGGGTTGCTTTGGTTGTGTCTCTCAGAGCAGCAGGTGAGCGACTGGAGCCCCAGTGGGATCCTCCTGCGTCCGGAGGCCCACCAGCTCTGGGGAAATGGGGGAGAACTGGCCAGTGGGTCAGTCATCCCACACCTTGACCAACTTCTGTCACACAAGGCCAACCCAGCCACCTCTCAGGGTCACTCTGAGGATTGAAAGCTCCAAGCAAAAGTCATCTCCCAGTGGGAATTATGGATCCTGGCCCCTCCTGCCAGCCGCCCATCCCCCCCTCTCCCTAAGCTGGCCCTGGAGAAGGGTTGGGAGAGCCACATCCATGCTGTCCTTGGGCTGACAGGAGCCAGTCCTATCCATGACAACCACAGCAGGAGGGGGGCCAGCTAGGCTCAGTGTAGCTGCAGGTCATGCAGGGGGAGGAGGAGGCTGACCCCATGAGTCTTGACCAACCACAAGGCCAACCTTGCCCCCAGAGACTCACGTATCCAGTGGGATACTCTCTGCTGCCCTCCACAAATGGCTGTCCAGAAAGAGAGGAAAACAATTCTTAAGGCCACCAAAGCCCAGGAGCCACTCATCTGGCCCCCACCTGCCCTGCCCTGCTTCCCACACAGCTCCTCAGTGGCTCCTGAATCTGGTGTGTTGAACCAACCAATTCTAGGCCACCAAAGACTTCCTCAATGAGACTCTCTGGTGACAGGTCACAAAGATCTGCGTTTTTAATAAATCCATCGGGAGAGAATGACAGAGCAGGCGAGCTCAGCCTGTTTGGGCCCCACATGCCGGTTCTTTCCTTCTGTCCTTAGCTCCTAGTGTAAGCCAGACCCCACAGCCAGCATGGACTCCTGCCACCAGCTCCTGGCCTCCCTTTCTACTGTCACCTTCTCATGCACCTCCCTCACATAGGACACCTGGGCTATTTCTGACCTACAGGCCTCCTCTGTCTGCTGCTCTGGGGTAAGTGAGAGGGTCCCAGGTCTGCCCAGGAGTCAGAGGAAGGCAGAGACCAAGACCCCGGGCCTTGGCCCCAAGGGAACTTACACTAATATTCAGGAACCCAACGGCCTTCACCAAGATGTCACCAAATATGCCCAGGGTGTCCACCCGAGACAGTGGGAGCCGGTAGCGGTAGTGGAGAAAGTGCCTTCCGTTTACACTCACCTGGAGAGGCAGACAGCACCAGGCTCAGCAGCAGCTGAGCTAGGCTGGGCTCATAACTGTGTCCCAAGCTCTGCAGGCACCTCTACCTGGAGACTGCCTCTGTGGCTTCACACCAGCTCTGCAGCGTAAGGACACTTACAGATGAGTTTAAGAGAGCTTCCAAGGTCACAAAGCTAGTAGACGGCAGAGCTGGCCCCGTCAGTGCCCGTCCCTGTCCCCGAAGAAGCCCCTCTCCTCTCAGCAGGCAGAGAGCATCATTGCTGTCCCCACTGACAGGGAGGACACCAAGGCTGAAGAGGCCGGTGCTGTCCTATCCTCAGTCCCTCTCGCCCTTCCCGCCTAAGCTGTCTGAAGACCCTCTCATCTTTCTGGCAGGCATCCGTCTCAGAGGCCAAAGTCTAGTGGACAAGTCCCCTCTCCCTGTCCTGTGCAGCTGCTGTAAGATGGGGGTGGATTCCATGAGTGAAGACATCAGTGGGCTTAGAGGGGCAGGGTGTAGCCCAGGGCAGAGCGCCCGCTCAGCACGCACAGGCCCTGGGTTCAGCCCCAGCACCCCCTGCCCCTCCCCTTGAAGGAAAGGCCTTGGAGTCAGCTGGCTTTGATGTGGCAGAGGGGGCCTCTCCACACCCAGACTCCATGGATGTCCAGCAGCCTGTGGGTGCAGGGAGCCTGGAACCAGGTGTGGCAGCTCCTTGGTCCTCTCCTCACAATGCCACCCACCACGGTGACAGGGGGAACTGGCTGAGGGAAGGATGGGTGCAAGGAAACAAGCTCAGGACCCTCGACGCCTGTCCCTTCCATTCACCTTCACCTCCTCATTCCCGAAGAGAAAGAGGATGAGGAAGCTGGCCCCTCTCTGCAGGGCCACGCCAGGCCAGCGGGCCTCCCTTTGCCAGCATCCACTGTGCAGGGTGTTGCAGATGACATGGGGCTTGGTGGTGTGGAAGCGAGGGTTGAAGTGGATGGCGATGTCCGGCTGGGGGTACAGGCTGCAGCCACACTGGAAGTCCACCTGAAACCTGAGGGGGAGGGGCGGCTCTCAAAGTGCTGTCTGGTCAGAGACCCACAGAGATCCCAAAGGCAGACAGGAGCCCCCAGCTCGACGCTGCTGAAGCTGGGCTCCAGCTCCCCTGGTCCCCCCCCTTACCTGTGGGCACGTAGAGGGACCACTCCCTGCAGCATGACCATCTTGCCTGCGTGCAGGCCACCAAAAATGGTTGTGACATACGGAATCACCTGAATGAGGGAAGAGACCCATGCTTTCAGGTTGGAGAAAGACCCGAGGGACCCCATGTCCAGTGCGTGGGGAGGGACAAACAGGACAACTCCACTTCCCTACCCCAAACAGAACCTGTCCTTACAGGAAAAAGTCCTTCCCTCTAAAATCCTCCGCCAACTGCCTGTCATGGACGAGTCTAAGCTACATCACACTGGGGACGCCCCTTCAGTTCCCTTGCAGCCAGCTAGCTGTCCCTAGCTCTTAGGACACAACAGGCTGCTGTGTCCTCAGTGAGACTTGTCATTCACTCAGTGCCACCTGGTGCCCAGAGCCTGGTACTGAAGTTTCTTGGGACAGTTTAATGGCCAGAGAGGGAACTGGAGGCAGAAAGAATGGCAAGTTGGAGCTGAGAGCTGACCCTATGTGGAGCCCTGAAGGGGACCTAACAGTGGCCCTGCTGCCCTCCTGGTCCCTTTCTCCTGGCCTTCCTCCCACCCCCCACACTCTCCCAACCCCCTGCCTCTCCTGGCTATTCCTCCGCCCTCCCTCCACCCTGATGCCTTCTCCAAGCATCATCCTCTTGGTGCCTGAGTTATTCCTTCCCTCCCCTGTCCTCCCAGGGCACTTTGTCCACAGGGCTGCCTTGGCCCTTGGGCCCTGGTGCAGCGGGTCTGGCTGGCTGCTTTCCCTGGGAGGCCACAAGCCCCTCCAGAGCTGAAGCCTGCTCTTTCCCTTGTTGGGCTCAGGCCCAGCCCAGCACAGTGAGGTCTCTGCAGAGCTGTTTGCAGAAGGAGTGTGAATAGCAGAACAGGGCGCCTTCATGCACTGCTGCCAACTCCCAGCAGTGCACAGAAGCCCAAACCAGCCAGAAAGAGCTGAGTCCCCAGCGCTGCCTCCTGGTGACAGGCTCCAGCCTGGGAAGCAAGTAGCCCTGGGGCCCTGTGCAGCTGCTTCAGCCCATTATTCAGGCTTCTGGGAGGAGCCCAGGGCCCCCTCCTGTCAGCATGCCCCTGGCCACCCACAGCTTAGCAGGGCTTCAAGTTCAGTGGTTTCCACTTCCCAGGCCCAGGCAGCGTGTGTAATTAACTGAGCTGCCCTTGGGAGGAGAGGGCCAATTAAGGGAAAGTGATAATTAGTGCTTGCTAGTGGGGGTGTCCCCTGGGGGGTGGGGGGCAGCCTTCTCTAAGCATTGCCTGGCTTCAAGTTCTCATGAACAGGAGGAGGAGGAGAGGGACCCCCCACCCCCATCTCTGACTGGGAGGTTCCCCTGGAACTGTCCCTTCCAGGCTGGAGTGAGGCTACCCTTCCTACTAATCAGCCTCCCCTTCAAAGATCGCACCCACTCCCCATTCCTGCTGGCCTCCCAGCCCAGTAGGGCGCAGCCTCGGCTCCCAGGCTTCACCAAGTTAAAATGTCCATCAGTCACTCACATTCAATTAGCTGCTCAGCCACTGTGCTAAACTCAAGAGAGCCTTCCAGAACCCTGGGCAGGTCCTGGGGAAGCTGGGCCCAAGACTGAGGTCCTCTCACCCCACCCCCCCCACGCAGGAGGAGTCCGCCCAGGAGAAAGGGAAGACCCCTGAGACCCGGGAAGTCCCAGGTGAGGGCAGCTGCTCACCGGGTGGAAGACTGGCGGCTGCAGGATGAAGCAGTCAGGAATCGGGTCCAAGTTTTCCCCAGGTGACATGAGGGGCAGGGCCACTCCTTTTGGGGCTGCGGATCCTGATTCCAGGAGCCCTGCTCCCCTGGATGGGCTCACCTTCCCCTGCCAGGTCCTCAGCGTCCTGGGAGCTCCGCAGCTGTTATTAGTCTCACCTGCGCTCTGCAGGGGCCTAATGCCACCTGGAGCCCATCTGTGGGGCAGCGGGCCACCTGCAGGGCCACACCCGCCCGGTTCTGGTGAAGCAGGACAAAGCCTGCAGCTCTGGCTGGACTGCGGTCGTCCGCGGAAACTCCGTGTCGCGTCCGGGGTGGGACGCTGGCACTAAGCCCCCAAGGAACTGGGCCCCTGGGTCTGAGGCACGTGATCACTTAGAGGGAAGCCAGAGGCTGGCCTCTTTGGGACTGGGAGGATTTGTGTTTTCGGGGCTCACCGGAGTCATCACCGGGTCAGAGCAAGGGCTGGGACACGTGTGCAGGTTCCCGCAGCAGCCCCGCCCCCAGCTTCCTGGACAGCCTGGGGCGGCTTCCCATCCTTCCTCCCCTGGCCACCGAAGGTCTCATCTCTTTCCCTCATTTCCCTGCCCTTTCTCCTCTCTTCTTTTTCCAAGTTTTATAGTCCCCCGTGACTCTATTTCAGCAACAGCTGTACTGCCAAGGAGCAGCTGAGGTCACAAAAAATAAATATATAAATAAGTAAAAGAAAAGAAAGAGCAGCGAGAAAGGGGAGGGAGGCAGGGCCCCCTGAGCTCAGGGAAGGCAGGGAGCTGCAGGGGGGGCAGGTGGCTGCACCTGGGAGACCTGGATTCTTGCTCAGCCGCTGACACATGCACTGTGTGCCCTTGGGCAAGTCTCTTCACCTCTCCGGGCTTCCTTTGTTCACTTGAATACAAACAGGGGACCCCTGCAGTGTCTCACAGCAGCCCTGTGTCTGAGATTGGCCCAGACCTTGGTGTTTTAGGAGGGCCCTTCAGTCCTCTTCAACCTTCAGGAAGACTTGCCCTTTAAACCACAAAGGACAACAAAAATTATGTCCTTTGCAGGAAAATGGATGGAACTGGAGAACATAATTTTGAGCAAAATAAGCCAGACTCTAAGAAATAAGAATTCATATCTTTTTCCCTCACATGTGGAGGCCACAGGAAAAAAACAGGGGAAGGGAGACCAGGATAATGGAAGGGTGACCAGTAGGATAAAGGAGGAGAGCAGGGGAGGGACAAGGGGCGGGTGAAAGGCTACCAGGGAGTCAAACTGATCAAACTGTGTTTCTATGTGTGTGCAAATATACCACAGTGAAACCCGTCATCCTGCATAGTTCAGAGGCACACACACACACACACACACACACAGAGTAGCAAAATTCAACTCTAGGCTGAGTTGGGAGGTCCCTGGATCTGACCACAATGTCTGACTTGGCAGTGTAGAATTCCTGGCAGGACCAGCTGGGCAAAGGGTCAAGTGCATGGGGCAAGAGTCAGCAGTTCCTGGGCTGGAAGTGAGAGTTCACGAGGGTCCTGGAGCCCGTGCTCTTTGGCAGCCTTCACAGCACTTGGAAAGTTGTTGCAAATGCAAAATTTGGGAGTCTCCCCCAGCCCCCCCCCCCCCCCCCCCCCCCCCCCCCCCCCGTGAAGAGGGCTCTCTAGAGACGAGGCCCAGGAGGGAATGTACTTGTTAGCATGGGAAGCTTCGGTTCAGGGCAAAACTGACAGGGCTTTGGGTACTGAGCCCAGGAGTTTGTCCAGATCCTGCAGCAGAAGGTGCTTCTATGGGGAAGTTCCATCAGGGGTGTGTTCAGGAAGAGTATCTACGCACACTGGGAGGAAAAACCAAAGGTGGAGACCAGTTGAGCAAGGACATGGAGCTCTGCATGAAAATCACACCTGGATCCTGGTCCCAGCCTCAGCATCACAGATCTTGTGACCCGTGGTCAGTGGCACCCTTTCCTCCTCCAAGATTCAGTTCTGTTTGCTAAGAAATAAAGAGACAGGATGCATTAATGTGTACGGCTTCCGTAACAAAATAACACCGATTGGTGGATTAAGCAACAGAATTCCATTTCTGAATGTTCTGGAAGCCAGAAGTCCAAGATCAAGGCACAAATGCTATGTAAACAGTTGCTGTATTGTTTAGAGAATAATGACAAGAAATAAAGTCTATAAATATTCAATAAAGACACAATTTTTTGATTTTTGCAATTTGGGGGATCCAATCTGGACCTTGTGCATGATAGGCAAATGCTCTACTACTGAGCACCTACTCAGCACCTAATTTAAAAAAAAAATTTTTTTTCAATCTTTGCTTGACTGAATTCAAGTATGCAGAACCTGCAGAGATGGAGGGCTGACTGTATATCTAAATAATTATAATTGACTAAAGATGAATATCAAGAAAATACAAAGAGCTCCTGAAAATCAATAAGAAGATAATTTCCAAGTATTTTCCAATACTATGTTGTGGATTTTCTCTTAATACAATGTCAAAACAAACATCCCAGATAGACAAATGTGCTTTGGAACCCCATTTTTAGGTGAACGCATTGAAGTCCACTGCTTTGATCTACTAGAATTTATTCAACCATTTCTTATTAGTGTTTCCTATAGAGATATAGCTCAGTGGTACAGCACCCTGTGTTCAATCCCCTGCCGGGAAAAAAAAAACATGGAAAAAGAAAACGAATTAATAAATTACAGTTCTATACAACAATACATGTATATCATGGAAATGACTTTGAAAGAAGAACGTTGCACAAAGCAAGACACAGCATGATACCATTTCTCTTCATCTGTTTGGTATGTTATAAGAGAATAACTTATGAACAACAAGAGATTTATTTCCTGCAGGAGGCTGAGAAGCCCAAGACCCATACAGCACATTCAGTGTCTGGTGTGGATCCAACTCCTGGTTCACAGACAGCCGCCTCTACATTCTCACATGATGGAAGGGCATACCCAGCCTTCTAGGGGCCTCCTTGGTAAGCATACTAATCCTCTTCACCAGGGGCCTGCTTTCATGACCTGGTTTCTTCCCAGAGGCCTCAACTACAAAGACCATCTCCTTGGGGGTTGATGTGTCAGCCTATGAATTTGGGGAAGTCACATTATATCCCACCACACATCATTTTCAATACAGTTCCAAATATGTCAAACAAAACAGCGTATGCAGGATACAAAGAGAGTGTTTAGAAACTTAAAGAGAAAGAGCAAGGCAGGAGCATGAGGACGCACTTGCAGTCCCAGATACTCCAGAGGCTGAGGCAGGAGGATGGCTGGAGCCCAGGAGTTTGAGGCCAGCCTGGGCATCATAGCAAGACCCCATCTCAAAAAACCAAACCAAACCAATGAACCAAAACTGATAAACACAAAACCCATAAACACAAAACTCAGGTGTGGGGGGCAGGGATGTGGGGTACAGAAGGAAGGCAGGTACTATCTGTATTTCCCCCAAATAAGACCTCCCTCGGCCTTCATTTTGCACCAATCATTGATTCCTAATCATTGTTGTAATTAGGAGGAGCAGATAGTGACAAGAGGAAGGACAGCACTTATTTATTCCTTCAAATGCATGCACGATCACCACAGTAAAACCCCAGCAAACCAACCCTGTTCCTGCAGGCTGAATTCCCCCATGCTCACTGGTCCCATCAAGATGACACCTTGCTCTGGCCAGCAGAGACCTGAAGATGACAGCAAAGGCCAGGACCAACGCTGCCACCACTAATGCCATGAGTGTGTTAGTGACCTGCGGCAAAGGAGAAGGGGACAGGGTCACAGTCGACATCCGGAGTCTGAGCAGGGATTCACAGACAAGGAGCCTGCAGCTCAGGAAAGACCCAGGATCCCTGTCCTCTTCACCACATCACAGGGGAACAACTATTAGCAGGAAGTGGGGATCCCAAGAGGTCAGGCCACCAGGAGGGCAGGAGGTGCCTGGTCAGGAAGGAAGGAATGCAGGAAGAGACCCAGGCATGAAATATACCAATCTCAAAGGAGGAAAACTGGACGTTAGATACAGCAATGACAACAGATTTCATTCAGTCACCAATGGCAGTTAGCAGGGCTCTGCTGCAATCTGTGCAGAGGTGACAGGTGCTTCCAAGGGAGATGGAGGAGCAGAGGTGGGCAAGTGGGGGTCCCTAGAGTCAGGGAGGTGAAGAATGATGGGGGTGGTCTCTGTAAGGCAGTGAGGCGGCTAAACGTGCTCCCTGGCAGTCGTTGTATACCCTGAGCTCTGCAGCTCTCCCAAGGTCACTGTTCTACAGAGAGAGAGGACAAGAGCTAGACACATTGGAGTGCCTTTGCCCAGAGACCCATCGGAAGAGAAGAGAAGAACGAGAGGGAGCCGGAAGGGCAAGTTAATGACATACCCGTAGAAAAGGTTCAAAAATAGAGACACCAGGCAAGAAGACAAATAAATAGAACTGTCACCAGTGAAACCACCACCTTGCTTGAGTTCAAACCCCCCAGAAGCACAGCAGAAGGTCAGCCACCCCTTAAAACTGGGGTCTCCCACAATGTTCCCTGGGACTTTGCCCAACCTTTGGAAATGGTTTCAGGTACACGACAAAGCAGCCCACACCACCTCCCAGAATGTCACCACTCGGGCCAAACATATGTCTACCCACCCCCTCAGCTGACAAGAGGCGGGGGGACCCATCAGTAGGGTCACTTCGGGGAACTATGGCCCCAAGCCAGACAGCATCACTGCCCTTGGCACCATCAATAAGGTTGAGATGTGCCAGGACCTGCCCATCCTGCCTGGCTTCGAACTCAAGGATGGGTCAGACCCAAGGCGATCCCTGCGGTGTGTTTTGTTCATGTCTAAAATAAAGGATGTGAGTTCTAAAGGACCCATGAGTTCCCATGTCCCTGATGGAGTCAGCAGAGTGGTTTAGAGTCAGTAGACGGCTGAGTCCCACTCCAGCTTACTAACCTGTGCCCAGAAAAAAACGTCATTCAACCTCTCTAGACAGGACCAATGGGAGCCTCAGCAGGGTTAGGGTCACATGCTGAAATAGTGAGGAAGGGCCAGCAGAAAGACTAAGACCTCATTCAGGACCCCAGGACCCATGGCCCATGCCCAACTCACTCACAGTGTGTCATTAAGAAGGTTCCTTCTGGGCTGGGGCTGGAGCTCAGTGGTAGAGCGCTTGCCTAGCATGTGTGAGGCCCTGGGTTCGAATCTCAACACCACATATAAATAAATAAAATAAAGGTCCATTGACAATTACAAAAAATTTAAAATATAAAAGAAGGTTTCTTCCCATCCTGCGACCCCATGCTCATCATTTAGAAATTGAAGAAATTGGGCCAGGTAGTGGTCACACCCTCCAGCTCTAAATTCTCTGATTTTCTCTATAGAGGTGTTATGATTTGAATGTAGGGTGTCCCCAAAAGTTCATAATATAAGAAATTTCAGAGATGAAATGATT